CAAACCATAAGGATGATTTTAGTAATTTAATCTACTTTATAAGAAGGCAAGTGAATTTTATTTCTTGAGAATTTAAAGGACAATATTGGGCTAATTCAAGCTATGAGATTGTGAAAACGAATCCTACTTATCGGAAGTAAACAAACTTTTAATAAAATCTAAATTTCTAATATAAGATTTGCCATGTTTTTTAAAAAACATAAAGCTATGTCACACGAATAACAACATCACAATGTTTAGTACAAATTAGCATTATGTAATGAAGCGTATATTATTTTTCATAATAAGAGTTGAATTAATTACGCAAGGAACAACAAAACTTTATTGTGTATACTAAGCCGATGAATACTGCATTATTTCAAGTGTAGTGACAAATTATAAAGTTTTTTTTTTTTAAATATAGTTAAATAGTAAAGCATTTTAAAGTAGTTCGTGAATATATCATGGAGGACATAAAATTTGTATACTAATAGCCCATGATATGTTATACAAAATTTTGCGACCTACTTACCAGATTTAAAATTTTGAAGCAGGTGACGACCCCCATGTGTAGTAACTATAGTTATACTTGTCGTTAGGCCACACACTAACACAAATATAATTTGCATCCGCATAAGATATTATTGAAGCCTCAAATATTAAAACTACTCATGCTTGAACATAGTGTACATTTGGAATGTTATAATTTGTAATACTAGATTATCATACATAAAATTATGAACTTAATTGAACCATACATCACTTTTTTCTATATACTTTAAACTCTAACACACAATGATTTATGTCATAAGCCTACAATCAAATATAAAATTTGATTACTTACGATTCATAGAACAATGACTTTCTATAGTTAGATATCGCATTTTATTATGAACTTATAACATTGATTAACTCAATCTTCAAAAAAAAGTATGTTTGCAATATGCAACAACCTGTTATTACTTGTTTGATATTTTTGAATAGGATTCACTTTTTTCTCTTACATAAACGCTAAATAGAATGTTTTTATCTTTACGTGCATTATTTCATTTTACGGATAATGCAATACTATATGATAATTGATTTCGTTTTGGTAGCAACCGCTAACAAGACTATGGGTGGTGTTTATATATACGTTTTTAAAGTAATTAATACAATATCTTATTTATTAATGGTTTACGTGCAACGTATATTTATTTACGTTCGTGTAACCTAAAATATTTTCTTATATACAAGAAATATAAAGAAATATAATTTTTATTCTTTTAAAAGATAGGGGAAGTAACAGAAATTTAATGGCCTACGCCTATATGGCTTCTACTTCCCTCGTCATTCTCCCTCTCCTTATAACTGTCATTTTCTCCAGCAACCTCCAAGCAACCGCAACAAGCCGCCTCTTACCACCGGTCCCTCCACTTACGCTATCAAATGGCTTCCCCGACGCCCCATCGTCACTTCCAACGCCCTCAATGCCATCCCCGACATTGCCTCCCTTAACTCCATCAGTGCCATTGCCTCCTCTAATTCTATTACCTCCATTACCTCCTCTAATTCCATTACCTCCTCTCAATCCATTGCCGCCATTAACTCCTCTAATTCCATTACCGCCATTGGCTCCACTGATACCATTGCCGCCATTGCCTCCACTAATTTCATTGCCGCCATTGCCTCCACTAATTCCATCAGTGCCATTACCTCCTCTAAATCCATTGCCACCATTGCCGCCTCTAATTCCGTCAGTACCATTGCTGCCCTTAATTCCGTTAGTTCCATTGCCTCCACTCCCTCCTCTTATTCCCTCACTTCCTGCAAGCACATCACCCCCACCACCGGTCACTACAACCTTCACTCCTCCGGTCGCGGGAACCATTAGACCCTGAAGTTGGCAACTGACAGATACCATCATCTACTGCTTTAAGATGTAATTTTATTAAGTGAAATATGTTTATTAGTAATAAAGAATTGGAATTCCTACTACATTCTATGTTTCAAGAACATGTAGTTTATGTATGCGCCTCTGCGGTTCTTTTACATATGAGTTACAAACATACTCAATCTTTAAAGTATAGAGAGAGAAATGAGTGGATATTAACTGACACGGGTTTATATACTTTAAATCTTTATGCAAAAAATTTATGCGAGAATTGTTATTAATTTATTCAAACCCAACATTGAATAAGTATGAGATAGTTATATACAACATGAATCATACAATTTAGATTAAATTACTGAAATTAATATTAACCGACTCAGGTTTATTAATTTATTCAAACTCAAGATTGAATAAACATGACATAGTTATATAAAACATGGATCATACTATTTCGGTAATTGAATGGATATTAACCGACTCCGGTTTATAAACTTAAAATCTTTATGCAAAGAAAATTATGTGAGAACTGATATTAATTTATTCAGACTTAAGTAGTGGTGTTTGACGGTGAAAGAGTTGGTGTCTGACTGCGGAGGAGGTGTCGGTGGTGTTCGTTGGTTCTTTTAGTGGTGATGGTTCTCGGTTCTTTTAGTGGTGGTGGCACCTTATATTTATAAATTTATATGAACTAATTTTTTTAGAATTAATAAATAA